CATGTTCGGCCTATCGACATAGTTTACTTTATCATAATCACTCGGTTGTTTTCTTTGTTTATGATGTTATGTCCCGAAGAGCATTCATGACTACATCTGGAAAATGGTCCTTTACCATAGTGGGACATATGATCACGCGGTCATAGTTTTCTTTGTTAGCCCAGGTTAGGTCGTACGCCAGTCCTGGTCGAGGTCTGTGGAAAAACAGTCGAAAAATGAATGAGGGGCGCATTTGCACAACTTGAGAATGTGCATGTTACGTCATAGCCGCCATGTTGGTTGACCATAACAAAGCAATCCTTATATAGTGACGTGTGACGTCATCAAATTACAAATTTTGCAATAGACCAGTTTCGAATTCCAAATTACCGCTGTGTTCCTTGATTACAGACTCATTTGCACAGGGTTAGCCTCGTATCAGTGTTTAAACATTCACAAATACCAACAGAAAAGTAAAGAATGCACAACTTCAACAATACAAACACTTTGAAACTCGACGGACTTTGACTGGAACACGTGAATATTCTGCACAAACTCGAGGCTAACCCTGTGGAAAGGGGTCTATTCAGTTTTGAAATGTTCATGTTTATAAGAGAACACACCATTGCCTACATTTCTGCCAACTTTAAGGCTGTTCCGAGCTTTAGAAATGGAGTTATTGGGTATTTAAGATCCAAAAACCCCCATACATTTTCTTTTATTTTGGACTGGATCCAATCACGTTAGATCCAGCCTCAAATATTATAAGAGAAATATATGGGGATATTTTCGTATTTCGTACATCTCAGCCGTTTTTCGCTCTGAAATTTTGCACCGTATCATATTTTTTACATACAGTTTCTGATAATGTCACCAAAATCCTGAATGTCTTTAAAAACATTTTGTGACGTCATCAATTTTGTGACGTCATCACTTCGGTACTCTATTAGCTTCTCTTGTTAGATGAACCAACATGGCTGTTGTTTCATTGTTATCCATATCTCAAGGGATTTTGAGCCACATAGTTGTACACACTGTACACTAGTTTGAAGCTACGCGAACACGGTGCAACATTACGCGTTATCAGTTGTGAGACACGTCGCACGACGCAATTCGTTGCACGCAATGCTTCTGCATGAAGTAGAAAACTATCTTACTTTAGCAACATTGCCTGAAATCGCACTGTTGTATCTATAGAAATATATGCATTTTCCACCGAAAAAATCAACATGCAAGTTAAAAGTTGAATTAAATTTGACATCCATTTAGKGTTAAATCACAGGTAGCCCAAGCTTGGTTTCTGTGGCGTCCTGTTATAAGGAAATGTACGGGGATTCATCAAAAATTTTAATAAAATCATCTAAACGTGAAATAAAGCCTCGAACATTTCCCCGATCATTGAGAAATAGCACTTCTTTCGCTCTGTGTGGTTAGTTATTTTTTGAATTTAGCCCGTTTTAAGATTTTTTCCCCCACCAGTAAGAAATAAGAGAAGGTTGGAAACTCGAGTCCCAAAAGCGAGCCATCACGAGTCTTTGAAACCTCGTACGTCTTTTAATTTTCTTTTCAGCGCCAAATTTTAGTCATGACCCTTCTCTCACATCCCTATAAAACCAAGAAAGTCGCATTAGAGATTAGCCTTCGCGTCTTTAAGCCATGAAATTTGCCTGTATTCACATACTACCTCGCTTGTTCTGACCCGTACTTGGAGCTCACTGTACACCAGTTCAACGGATTTCCTTCGGCAACTGACCCGAGGTCACGCCGGAAGTCTTCGTATCGTAAATGCGGATTGGATTTGGATATAGTCTTTCTTCGAAATTATAAGCTAAATACTTTTGTATCTTAGGCTGTTAAAAATACACTCGCGATAATTTCGAAGAAAGACTATTGAAGAAGAAAGACTATTGAAATTTTTGATGAATCTCCATACATTTCCTTATAACATGACACCACAGAAACCAAGCTTGGGCTACCTGTGGTTAAATCCCCAATACCCGTACATTAAATCCCCGTCCCGCCGCATTAATTCCCCGCCCTGTCCCGGGGATTTCAATTAACTAGTGTATTATAAAACTACGAAAAATCAAATTACATTCAGCTCTTGCCTTGCGGACCCCTCGCTTATACGGACAGTAGGACAATTCCCGCGGGACGGTCCCGAGGGTGTCCGCTGTTACGAGAGTTGAATGTACTGGCATTCTCACGTGTTTATTGTACTCTAATATTTAATACTCCATCATTACCGGTTTTTTGGTTTGACATCGATCTGTAATATTTTTCCAGCCGGGAAAAGACGTACCAACTGGCTTTCATTGCGTTGTCTATTACTCTCGCTCTCGCTGCTACCGCCATTATTGGAGACGTAACTGCTTCTTGCGCCTCCGGTAGAAGAGCTCAGCGGCTGTCGTTCGCCTCGTTTACCTAACAAAGGTTCGGTTATGTGGGGTTGTGAGCCTTGGTCAGTACGAGGGGAAATGGAAGGAGGTAATACTTTAGGGTCACCTTTACGATTCTTGTTGTTGTTTCCTAGGAAGAAACAGATGGCTCGCCAACAGCCAGTCATCAGGATACGATACTGAAAACCAAGATTAGCATCAGAATGATTATCATGATCCTAGTACGGTAGGATGGTTGCACGTACACGGTACGACATGCGTTAGCCCTTAAATGGCTTCCCATAAAAATAGTTATCGTATGAGTGGGAAGCATACAGTACTGACTTACAGCACGTACACGGTACGACATGCCGTAACATTAAAATGGCTTCCCATAAGAATGGTTATCGTATGAGTGGGAAACATAAAGTACTGAAGTACTGACTTAATCCCGTACATGGTACGACATACCGTAACGCTAGAATGGCTTCCCAATAAGAATGGTTATCGTATGAATGAGAAAACATACGGTACTGACTTAAGCCCGTACATGGTACGGCATGCTGTAACATTAAAATGGCTTCCCATAAGAATGGTTATCGTATGAGTGAGAAACAAACACTACCGACTTAAGCCCGTACACGGTACGACATGCCGTAACATTAGAATGGCATCCCAATAAGAATGGTTATCGTATGAATTAGAAAACATAAGGTACTGACTTAAGCCCGTACATGGTACGACATGCCGTAACATTTAAATGACTTCCCATAAGAATGCTTATCGTAAATGAATACAAAATGAATACAATTTCAAGGAACGTCTCGATGTTTGATGTCATCCCTACCTTTGGCAAGTTACAGTTCATTATGACATTTTCTAAATCTTGTACCAAAGTGTTGAGGGTTTTGACACTCATTCTGAAATGAAATATTGATCGTAAACAAACAAAGACACGGATATTAATGCATGGATGGATGGTTAGATAGATGGGATGGGAATAAGAATGAATAAATGGGAGGGAGGGAGGGATGGATGGAGGGAGGGAGGGAGGGATGGAGGGAGGGATGGATGGATGGGATGAATAATATTTCATTACCTTGGCACTACATCTTTGCCAACAAGAACAGACAACACGTAGTCTTCACAGTTGACTGTAGCTGATTCGCTAATAAACAATTACATGGAGCACATAGGTCATTGAAAAAAGAATAGTAATAAGAATAACAAATACATGAGCAAAATAGAAGATGAAGAAGTTAAATTAGGTCAAAGAAAAATGTCTAGAGTCTAGTATATATTGTTGCACGGCAAAAAATAGACTTTGGTTTTCAGATGCCGATAGCGTCTTAGCGTCACCTTTCGTATCGCTTCGATGCAAAGGCACGGCTACCTTTCAAGATGGCGTACTAGTTTTTGCGGTTTGGCAACCGTATACTTACAGCTTTTTATAATATTTGTTTTTTGTTGTGAAGTATGATCGTCCGGGTAAGAGTAGTATTAAGAAAGATAGTTATTGGTGGTGACTGACGTTTCGACAACCTGAGTGGACGTCATCTTCAGAGTCCAGTGAGAAAACGAGAGAGAAAACATTTTCTCGTTGGACTCAGAAGATGACTTCAGCTCAGGTTGTCGAATTGCAGTCGCCACCAACAACAGTCTTTCTCAAGACTACACTCACCTGGACCATTACACTTCACAACAAACTGTCAGTCACCACCAACAACAGTCTTTCTCAAGACTACACTCACCTGGACCATTACACTTCACAACAAACTGTCAGTCACCACCAACAACAGTCTTTCTTAAGACTACACTCACCCGGACGATTAGACTTCATAACAAACTTCAACACCTGGGTTGTAAACATTTACTAATACTGCACTTTACCTGGGGCGTAATGTCTTCCAACTTCAGACCCCGTGTCATTCCCTAGAGTATTATTTCTTTGTTTAACGGTTGCACATGAGAAGACACATGAATATGGATACAACTCAAACGAAGAATCTTATTCTCAAGAGAATGAAATGTGGTCTGAAATGGTGAAAACATTACACACAAGGTAAAGAGATCTGTTTTTTTAAATGCTGGTCTGAATGAGGCAAGAAAAGAGTTGTTCTTCTTCTTCATCAATGAAGCTAGGCTCAAGACAATGAGATAGAACATCAACTTACTTTAAGACACTTGGATTAGAATATGCAAAGCACTGCAGACCAGGGAAGAGTGGTTTTAGTAAGATAGACAGCACAGATGCAGTTCCAGCGCCCAATGAATGACCTACTATGACAAGACGGTAGTTGCCACCCTATTAATAATAAACATTATTATACATTTTACTAAGTATATCAATTCTGATTGGTCGAGGCCTCAGCCAATCCCTGATATCGTGTGAACTCCACATGACAAATGTATTATCTATAGGTTTTCCTACAGATAGTACATTTATCATGTCAAGTTCATTCAAGGTCACGCTGTGGTAGCTTTGTTTTTATTCATTATGTGTATTTATTTCCAGAATTATGTACAAAAACAATTATTTAAGGAATCCTTAACTTATTTTCATATATTTCATGAAGAATTCTTAAAATATTTTTTAATTAAAATTTTTGCGTTTTTCACTCTACATCATGGCGTTCATAATTCTTGTCTCTATAATTTAATGCTCATGTTAATGTTCTTCCAGTATACAAAATGTATAATAAAGCAATTATTGAATTCGGTTATCGCATAATATCGTAAATATCAAGACCTTGGCTGTGTTATCTGCCTCAGCATTCGGCTTCGGCAGATAACACAGCCTCGGTCTTGATAATTTACGATATCATGCTCAACCTCATCCAATAATTGCTTATTATTGTCCTATGTGTGTAAAATATCGAAAGATGAGAGGGGGGCCAACAATAATATTGAAGAAAAAAACGGAAATGCAGAAGCAACCGCAACACCCACAGAAGCAGAAGCAAGGTAGCAACAATAACAGCAACAACAACAGCAACAGCAACAACAATAACAGCA